TTCTTAAACCTTATTTTCTTAAATCTTATAAAAATAATAATTATAAAAATAATTTTATTTTATATTATTAAATTTATTTTTAACCGTATAATCATCTCTTTTTTATTAAAAAAAAAAAAAAAAAAAAAAAGAAATAGGATTATAAATATTTTATGTATTGTTTAAAATTTCCAAGATTATCATGCAATAATTATACAGTAATATCGCGAAAATAATAGGAAAAATAGGAAAAAGACATGTATATATCGAATAAAAAGTTTTCATTTTTCTAGACAAATTTTATCTATTAGAGCGATAATCAGATTGATGAACAAAACGTAAGTGAGATTCTCGCTTGGTTCTCCGCTAGATGTATCATTAACCAAGTCTGCGATTTAATTACAACTTCATTAATAGCGTGCGCACGCTCACGCCACAGATTGATATCCGCTCGGCACTTTCTCGCTTCTCATGTTCACCTCGCTAACAAATATCGACGCGTTTCCTTTCAGACTGCACTTCTGTGGTAATGCGACACTTTGGCGACGTTGAAATTCGATTAAACGTCTGTCACTACGACTTTTAATTAGCGATCCGTTCCGCCTCTTCCGTACCTTTTTCTAACACAGGCGCTACAACAGGCGCATCCTTGATCTCAATAATAAAACTTTGCAAAAAGTTGGGAGGTCTTTATATATTGTATTTGGAAAAAAAAATGTAGCGAGATATAATAAAAGATCCCAAATTAAGAGATAAATAAAATGTTGTTCAAATAATTTCAAATAAATTTCGCCTCACACAATATTAGTTTAGAAAGATATATTATGTGAAAAATTGAAAAATTCTCCACAAAATAACTCTCCTTTAAATTTTTCGCCAAGAAAAATCTACTGAATAAGTCGATCGAAAAGAATTTATTATCGTGTTGTAAGATATTCTATGTCTTTCCGATACTTGTTCAAAGAATTTGTCACAATTAATGCGAAATAATTAATAAAGAAATATGCAGAAAGTAACTTTTTTATGAGAAGAGCAAAATTATATTAAATACTCGAGAATATAATACATTCGAGAAAATGAGGTAAATTCC